CAGCACAGGGCAAAATAGTATTACGTAGTTAGTATCAGCAATTTCTTATGCTGAAGTGTACGATGTGTTGCATACCTATTTACAAACAATTCCTTTAAGTTTAAATTTTTAAACAATTTTTAACACAAAGAAAGTGATTAAACAAATTGTTCACAAAAGTGAATTTCGACCACTCGAAGCAACAGTTTTGAACTCATAGTGGCCGATAGGGGGAAGAACTTGTTTGTTTTAAATATAATAATAGTGTGAAGGAATAAGGCCAGAATCTTATCTTTATCAAAACCTTGCACCAAAAGCCAAAATGTCGGGGTTTGTTTATTAATCAAGCACTTTTTTGTCTCTATTTTGGTTTTGATTTTACTTAATCGACAAAATTATATTTTAGTTTATTTAATTTACAAAAAAAATTGTTGTTTTCTAGTATTATCGATTTGGAGCCTTAAGTATCTGTTCATGTCTTATTTTCGACAAAAATTTTTTACTTACGTTACTATGTTCCCAGTGGCCTTGGTGGTCACTAGCAAAAGACATCTTCATCGAAAACGATTTTTTTTTTAATAACTTTTATCCCAAAAATGCACTACACTTACACAATATAAGTATTTTGAAGATACTTCTTTGCGAACAAGGATGACGATCGCGAAACTTTTTTAAACTTTAAACGGCGCTCTTTCTAATACATATATACAAATTAATAGTTAATCCCTGGGGATGGTTTAACGTAAATTAATACTACGAATGAAATTTGTTCTTTGAAATAACAAGGGATGATGCTACGCTTTAGAAACAATTGACGAGATTGGCGGTCCTCCCTTACGAGGGCCGGCTTTCGTGGAAAATTTCGACCAATAAAGGGAAAGCCAAATGCTGCACATCCCTTAGGAAAGGCCTTGTTCCTTATTATTCCAGGAAATAGATGCCAAATTCGGAAGTCTCGGCAATATTGACTTTACAATCTGCAAAATTTTGCATGAATTTTACGTGACTTTTCCTTTTATATTTCCANGCTGACCCATTATACGATAAAATAGACTAAAAATAAAGGAATATTGTAATAATTTTGCAAATAGTTTCGCTTCGTCATTTTACACTTAACCTCAAACATTGACTTACGTCAAAAATTAATTACATAACTGCAAAGAAAAATATTGACGGTGTATGTTGGGTGGCCTAACCAACCCAACATACTTAGTGCCAATATGTATTTAAAATTATTATTTACACTTTTCTTCTTAATAAGACAACATTTAAATGTCTTTTTTATGTTGTTTCCCATATCCATGTATCTCGTGTAAATTGGTATTCTTAAAATGAAGAACGATATCACCTTTGATAAGGTGTTTGTAGGACCTTTTAGCAAAACTTTCTGAATTATTCCTTCTTAAATAATACGCTGTTCTACTAGCAAATTCGGCATGTTTAAGCCTCAGTTTCGTCCCATGTTCTAGTTTTTCGTTGTCACCTTCAGTAACCGGCTCTCCAATGGTCCATATATTGAAATCTTTCGATTCGTTAATATTATTTTCTATTTTAGCTTTGAAACTGTCGAATTTCTCTGATATTTTTTGCATTTCGTTTTCGATTTTATCTTTTTGATAATCGAATCCTTCATTTACTAAGCCATTCATTTCTTCTAAACGATTAGGGATTTCCCTCTGATCGTTTATGTCGCTAAATCGAACACTTTTACGGTTTTTTCGGACACTTTTAATGCTATTGTCCCTGGAATTATTACTTTCCATTTGCTTTAAATATTCTGGGGGCCCAATAGAGACGTTCAACATTATGTCAGGTTCATCGCTGACATTTAAAATACACTCTGATGAAGTTGTCGAAGTCGTTATGTTCTCTTCTGAAACTAAACTTTCTGATGTTTTGGTTTTCTTTTTTGCAATCTCAAAATCGTTTTCAACTGATTGAGAATTTTCTTCGAATGTTGGGTTCTCAATGCCATTCTCTTTTTTACCCTTTTTCTTCTTCTTTTTATTTTTGACTTCATAAATGTTGTTATCAACAGCTTCTGCAGACTCCCTGGAATTGTTTAGGGACTCAAAGACTGGATTTTCGAAACCGTTTTCGATTTTATTTGCTAATTCTTTTTGAAACGTCTCGTCTATTAAATCGTCGTTTTTCTGACTTTCTTCTAGTACTTTCGAATTTATTTCAAACAAATCGTTTTTTTCTTGGTTTATTTGATATTTTTGAGTTCTCTCTCTCTCTCTTTTTGAATTTGTTGGGGAAACATTGTCTTCAAAAATTGGATTTTCTATACCATTGGAGTAATTCTCTTTATTTTTAACTTCTGTTTCCTGCAAACAACTGTTAAAAACTGGATTTTCGATACCATGGTTTTTCTTCTTTTTGTTCTTTTTCTTTTTAGTTTTTATTTCATAAATATTATTATTTTTGTTCTCTGCCAATTCTTCAGAATTAGTTGGCATCTTAAAATTTGGATTTTCAAAGATTATGTCCTCTTCTTTCCATTTTTGGTTTTTCTTTTTAGGACGTTTGCATTCTTCAATTTCTAAAGAATTCTCCAATTTCCTTTTCTTTTTCCTAGTTTCATCTTCATCTTCACTGTGTGAATTTGATAGGCTTTCTTCAACTTCTTCATCTTCCTTTATGGTATTTAAAGAGTGCTTTTTAATAGGGATTTCTTTAGTAAATAAAGGATCAAAAGCAGGATTAGATACTCCAAAATTATCTCCTATTTCAGTTTTGTCTTTATGTTTTTTCTTTTTTGCACTACTGGATGTATCTTCAGTTTCTAAACCACCAGCTACTATTCTATGTTTCTTCTTTTTTGGAGTTTTCTCCTCAGAATTATCTGACAATTTTCTTTTCTTTGATTTTTTCTTTCCTGTGTCCTTTTCCTTCTTTTCTCCTGAAATTTCTTCTAGATTCTGTAACGATTCATTTTCACTTTCAAATGAAAAAGAACAATTTTCAGTCTTCCCATTATTTTCTGTATTGAGGTTGGTACAATCATTAAAACTGCAACTAAACCCAAAACCTGGTCTCACTGTTTCATCCAAATCATCGTCTTTTACTTCAGGTGAATTTCTGTAAAATGTTGACATTTTAGATTTAAAATAATCAATCATAGAGCCCCCTTCAACTGTTATAACTCCATGGTTCCCAGTTTTACTATCAGTTTCTGCCTTATTCGAATTCTCATCTTCTCGTACCTTCTTATCTTTAAGACTCCTTTTTCCAAAAACATTTGCTAGATCTTTTTCTGAGTATCTACTCAAGTCCTTCCCTCTAGTGAATTTGTGGTAGTGAACCCGCACCCTTGATGTTAGAGACTTTTCTTCCAAAGATTTTGGCTTATAATCATCAGTATTTGTTTTTATTTTAACTGCAACTTCACTGTTTGATAAATCTTGTAAAAGGGCAGAAAAATTATCTTCGTGCTCAGTCCAGACATCCTTGTCTTTAAAGCCAAAACCTTAAATCATTTTGTATCGTTTGATTTGTTAGAAGAAAACATTTATTTCTAATTAACTAACCTTTACTATCATTTTTGTAAGAAACTTTGATGTGCTCTTTCAGACCGTCCTCTCTGGCACCCAGGCCTTTGCCCTCCTTCCAACCCATACTTTCTAATAGTTTCTGTCCAAATTTGTTGGTATCTATATTATTTAAAAACTGAATTTAAACAAAAACCTTATCTGAATCAATTCATTTTTTACCCTGTGCCCAAGCATTTCCACGGGGATTTAAAGACCATTTCTGTTTTCGTTTTCGTTCTGCTAACATCGACATTCTTCTTTGAATAATTTAAGACCCTAATTAACGAAAACTAACAAATTTCCGTTAATTTTAACACCTGCTGTTTCACCTGTTCATTATAAGGTTATGTCAACTAAATATAAGGTTATGTTCTTCTTATTCGGTAGTGGCTCAATAACAACTACTATACAACCGTAACAACAAGTACCTATTCAAAAAATATTAAATAATTTATTAGCAAATGTATTTAAACAGAAATAATCATATTTAAATCACAAGTTACACCTTAATATCTAAATATAAAATTAAATTATACGAATATTAGAAGTGGAAGACGGTTTCACTTATAATATACAAGCATTATTGGCTATAAAGTCTACATATACCAAAAAAATAGTAAAAAAAACATGTTATATAGTTTTCTGACATCTTTTTACCGTATATGGTTTATATCTTTTTAATTCAGCAAGCCGTACGAAATATAATCCCTCTGCGCATAAAGTTCTGCGTTCTTATGATCGGGTACAGTCCCGTGCAAAAGTTCAGTCATAAAACTAATGTATGTTATTGCCAAACGTAATGTTTCAATTCTAGAAAGGCGTTTTTCGTACGCAAAAGTTGGAACCTGCAACACAACAAGACAAAAACTGTGTATCATTTTTTTGCTAGATAATTTGCTTACTTTTCGTCTTAATTTATCGAAAGCCTCGTTCAAATTGAACATCCTCCTACGTTCTCGAATATTAGCAGCCCTTCTTTGAGCCACCGTTGCCACCCTTCGTCTCGGTTTTTTAGTAGAATTTGTAGAATTGTTATTTGTACCATTTCTATTCACACGATTACCCACGAAACCTCCACACTGCTGTCGTTGCCAAACTTTTTGAACAGAGAATTAATATAAAAGCTCAAGGTTTAGAATATAGATTAGCATTCAGCACCTACATTCGATTCGATTTTATTTTATTTAAAAAAAATGGCAATTTCTTTTTTGTTTCTATGATTATTACCTAATTCTGAATTAAATGCTGAAAAAATGTCAGGGTACCCACTTAGAGGGGGATTTTGTCCTCCAAGGCAATGGTGAGGGTCCCATAGGCCACCATAAGCAGGAATATCGCTAGGAAAATTAGGCATATCGCAATTCTTGTAATCCTGAAAACACTGGATGTACAAACTTGCCAAAAATTAATGTAATATTCATTCATAAAGATACAAAAGTGGCAAGACGGTTCAACTAGATAATTGAAATTAAAAATTAAATATTTCTATTAGATCTTGATAATTAACTCAACAAGTACGTAGGGCTTTAAATATTATTTATAAAAGAAATTATGAGTGCTGTCAGCACAGGGCAAAGTAGTATTACTTAGTTAGTATCAGCAATTTCTTATGCTCAAGTGTACGATGTGTTGCATACCTATTTACAAACAATTCCTTTAAATTTAATTTTTCATATTGTAATTCAAT